TTCCAGAAAAACAAGTGGGACTTTTTCACCTTTCTTGTTCTCGAAGTATTGGCAATGGTATTGACTGGTGCTGTTACTCTTACAAGTAAGACTCTTTCCTGTACCTTACAATATTTGTTCATCAGGAAATATTTGTTCCTTTCTTCAGTTTGTAGTCCGCTAAATAAATGCCTTTTGAGATATCAGGAGTCTTGACTGATCCAGCAGCTCCGTCTTCTTTTGGGGCTTGGTTAAATCATGCTGGTACTCACCATATTGGTGCTTTAGCATTCTTGTTCGCGGACTTTTTCCTCTTCGTTGGTGTGGCAGTCTTAACTGGGGTACAAGCTTCTCAGGTATGCTTCTTTGTTTTCCTGTTAGTTATCATAAGCTCCTCAGCCTACTACCCTACTTCGTGAAATTATATGTTTCAAACATGTATCATATGCCGGCAAAGATATAATCATTATTGTGGGAACATACAACACGAAACACACATTCATTTCCTGGGTGCTGCCACAGATTTACACACTGTCAGCTGTTCTGGATAATAGGGCCACTATCACACATACTGTTATCTTCAATTTGATGTCTTTCCAGATATGTTTTCTGGAAGAGACGGAATTTATGTATATGAATGATCATTGCATGATCAAAAAGTTCATTTGAATATCTTACTGCGGACGTCGTGAACATGCTTATAGTTTCACCAGGGATGCCCATTGGCATCTTATTTTCAACCTTTCTGATTCTTATTTCCTCAATCTGACTGTTGATGTTTCCATCATGTCATTTAGAGTCATGTCTCCGGAAATCATGATAAGTTTGTCTGTCTGCTCATTTGAGTGTCAGCAACACGTGACAGCACGAATGTATACTGTTAAACCTGTTTGTCCGTTGACGACTTTTTCTCCCTCTCCTGCTAAGGTAAAAACATGTAAAATATATCTTGACCTTTCTTTTTCCCTTTTGCAACAGATTTCACACAACATCACAACAAACGAAATGGCAAATATGATGCGTTACAGTTACCTTAGAGGACCAGGTGGTCGATTCCGGAATCCATATGATCATGGTTGTAAGAAGAACTGTTCAGATTTCTTGATAAATGGTTATAACGAAGATGTCGAGTACGTTGAAGAATCGATTGAGTCCGAGGGGATAGGAATGATGCAAATTCCTCGCAGTTCAAGTCTTCAAAATGGTGCCAGCCATTCTAATCAGATCAATGGAAATGGCCATCATGTTATCAATATGAACAATAACCAGAACTCACACCAGGGTCATGTTCATTCTGCTCATTGTTCTCATAATGTGAAGAGCAAAACTGATTCTGTACCGGTTGGTTTGGGTGTTGGCTTAGGAAGAAATGCTGCGCGCACTGCACTATCTTCATAACTAGTGCCACAGCTCATGGGTTTAGAATCCCTCCTTTTTTACCTTTTTTCTGTTGTTTATAAGCAGTGATTTAGAGCTTGAGTTATTCATTTGGTTTACTATTTTCTCCTCTTTCATCTTGGTGCAGGTAATTCACTTCTCTCTAGTAAAAAAAATCATCCATTATGCTATGCAACCTCTTCAGTTCATAGTACTTTGTACAAAGTTGTAATTCTTTTTACAAATGCTACTGAATTTGCAGCTGTTAGTAATTGATTTTGAGAAATTGGTTTGCGAAAAAAAATCCTTGCCTAAAATAAAAACCCACTTCATCTTTCTTGTTTTTCTTTTTCTTTTTCTTTTTCCTCTTAATGTGCAATATCTGATGAGTGCTTCCTTTTTTTGGTTTGCTTTAATCGTTCGGTATTTGGAAATCATAGGCTGACTAATTTAGATTTCCGTTGCTTAGGACTAATTGAAAGGGAAGCGCGACCTACCATGGGTTTTGTCTATTTCCGCGGCTTGAAGCCTAAACCTCTTGTTAAGGATGAAGGGATTCATCTAATTCACCCCGTCGTGATTGACCAATGCTTCTCCTTGTACTTCAATCTAAACATTGTGGAAAAATTTATAATATTGCCACTGTACCGTTGCAATAATCATTGTCTTAAGAAAAATATTTTGACTTTCAAATGGTAATAATGTCATTATTTTCTGAATATAAGATGTTTTGATCATGACATTTGTTAACACAAAGTAAAATGGATATTCCACGAGGAATTTGTTCCCCCAGTAATAAAAAAGGAGAATTTGCCCACAGGTTTGATACAGCATATAGAATTATATTATATTACTATATACAAATATGAAATAACAAGGAAATTTCTATACCAAAAAGGAGGACAAGACATGGATTATTCGAAGAATAAGTTCCACAACTAATGCTTAGTTCATAATCCATACAACAACCAATAGAAATTATTTTCAAAGCGATATTAAATGCTAAAACGGGATCAAGCTATTCTTACTCTCTATTTTTTATACTATACCAAATTGGAAAAATAATAAAAGAAGAATAAAACTTTAGTTAGGGGTGAATCCATTTAAACACCACCCAAATAACCGTATCTGAGTGTGAACTTAATCTTAATTGTCAATTAATGACTTTTTTTTATAAGCATCATTTTTTTTATAAGCATCATATATGCCAAAAAGATGCATAAGCATAATTCGTTATTCACAGTAGTCAATATTTAGATATGGAAAATAAAAAATCTCTTTTTATTCGTACCGAATGTTTACACCAATTCAATAAATACATGATATATAATTCACATACATTATCATTACTAAAACATAAAGAATTATTAATGCACATTCTTATCTCAATTTATTACTTAATCATAATAAATAATTATCATTTATATAAATATCCGGTGCGCTTAAATTCTTACGTTGTACAATTACTTATATCCAAAGTCAAGAACCTTATTCAAAAGAGATGATGAAGTAGAATCCAAATCCATTACTAATTAAGTTACTTAATGATAATAATCTTTATTCTGTTACTGATCTCAATCATCAACTTAATTTTACCCCTGTTACAAATCCTATGGCGCCCTCCTTTTTCTACTAAATAATAATAAAAGAGTTCAATCTTTTTCAAAAATTCTTTGAGATAAGGTGGGTCCACAAAGCTATAAGCCAAAAAGATATACTCCAACAAAGATGATAACTTTTGATTAAATTTAATTCTTGCATCTAAGTGATGTCAAGTAGAGTTGTAATCTTTTCTGTAAAATTTAATTTAAAATGTATTATCTACTCTTTTCCCCTTTTAAAAACAATTTCTTTGAACATAGAAGTTTAACTTTATTCACACAATATTACATGTAACTAAAACCTTATTCACATTTGATGTTTACATTTATGCATCGTATGCGTGCTCTTGCCATTAAATCATAATTTAATTAATACATATTCTTATTTTAATTTAACTTACTTACGATATATTAGTACTTTTTTTGGAAAAAAAATTCAGAAAATTCTGAAGCCGTTACGCTTTGGTACGTACTAAATAACCTGGTTACTTGTAATAACTGACAACCACACATAAGATATAAACCACTAAACAAATTCGATGGGACAAACTCTTATCGAAAAAGCTATTGGTAAAAACAATCGATTTCTAGGTAGGAAACCGAAGTTAGTAAACTACAAAATAAACCTGCTTACCAGATACAATATCTTAAATATTACCAATGTATAAAAGTACTTTAAAGTGTTTATATATAAAAAAGAACGATATGTACAATGATAGGATGACAAATCATACGATACCACGATAACAATTTTATATGAAAATGAAAAAGGCAAAAACAACACAGTACTAGGAATAACGACATGACATCACTCTTTGATCACACAAAATAAAAAAAGGTTGTTTCTTATCTTTTTAGTATTAAAAAATCAATCAAAGTCATATAAATGACTCATCAAAATGCCACACTTCCAAACAAAAATATGGACAAGTGGCACATACTCACACAGTTCCCCTATTCTTGCCACCTTCTTTTGCTCCTTTCTGCCTCTTTTTTACTCTCATTGTTCCCATAAAATTCTCATCTTTGTATTTATCCTCTCTCAGAATCATATGAAATTTGCTCTATCTTATTTTTGGAGTACTTAAATTTTGTTCTGAGGTATGAAAATTTAGTTGAAAATACACACTGAAAATTTGCTAATGTAACTGTTTTTAGTGTGTATTTTGTTTCTCTTTGCATGCATTTATGTTTTTGTCTTTCATTTTTGATATTATGATGTTTCTTTAAGTTTCTTTTTCCTCCCCTTCATTTATTGTGCTCATGATTCAAACTTTACATGTATTTTGTGTTCTTGAGTAGTAGAAACAAACAAATCACTGATTTGGAAGCAACTAAAGTATTAGGGTATATAGGCCTCTATATCACACTTAGAGGTGGACCTACATATACGTGTATATGTCTTTAGAAAATAGTGATATATTAATAGTTGGCACCCTCTATATATACAAAACTGATTTTGGTTGAATCCAAAAGTGCACCCGACTTTTCAAATTTTGCTTCCGCCTCGGATCACACCCTAGCTAGAGGTGCAATTCTTCCCGGACCCTGCGCGTGCAAGATGCTTTTGTGCATCATGCTGCCCTTTTAGTATTAAAAACAAAGGAAAAACATATTTTGTGGAGTTTTAAGGTTGTTTTCTTGTTAGTATCTACATAGTGTATTTTTTAGGAAAAGTGTCACGGAGAAAGTCCATAAAATCTTGAAAACTTGTGCAAATAATTGAGGAGAAGAAAGGGAAGAATATTTTTTACATGTTCTTGTTGCATAGTACTATTAATTAATCTAAAGGGAATGATTAATTTGTACCTCTTCTTTTTATATATGGTTAGTGCATTAGTTTTGGTTGTGTTTTTGAAGTTCTCTTTTAAGTTGATAACTGTTAAAATAGAGATATTTCATAATAATTGCATATTCCTTCTAATTTAGAATTTTGGAATCAATATTAATGGTAGGAATATCTATTTTCATTTTAGTCTAGGAATATTTATAAGATATTTACTTTCTTTCTAAGTTTAGGATCTATATTAATGATATATTTTACTTATTTTATTGCCTTTAGTTACCTATAAATATTGATGTACACGCACTCTTCTCTTGAGTTATTATTCATTTTCTCTTTGGTTTTCTCCCTAGATTTTCTGTTGCACCTGTTTCATTTTTCATTGTCTTGAAATGATAGAACTCTTTCTGCCTTATTGGCATGCCAATTTATATTAATAGTTTTGTTTTTTCAATAGCATTCCACACAATGTTAATTTTATCCCTATATTAAAGTATCAATATGTGGAATTTTGATGTTTTATGTCCATATGTTTTCCAGGACTGCTCTTGAATGCTTATGCAAAATTGCTACTAGACATATGGGATTACTCTTTGCTTAACTGAGTCACACAGGCGGATCCAAAATTTAAAACTTTACCGATTTAAACTTTAAGATTTTTAACATTGAACCTATTATATTTTTATAATTGTGGGTTCATACTTACTATTTGTAGTGAATTTTACGCATAAATTTATACACTGCATTGAAAATACCAGATTCAGATGAACCCGGTGTCAGTGCTGTGAGGCTGCATCCGCCTCTGGTCATAGTACCATCTTTAGGAAAAACTTAATGATAGTGAGTGTCACTTCTCAAGGGAATTCCTTGATTATGGGGAGTGTTTGTTCATGTAAAAGTGACCATTACGCTGATGAGAACACAACTAGAAGAGGTTTCTCTAGTAGATACTTCAAATTTGGGAGCTCAAAATGGCTAGAGTCCTCCCCTTTTCTTCCTTCAGGATGTTGTCAATTTCGACGACGCAGTTGTCCGTCCCTCATGGAATTGTGTATTCATAAAATATGTGAGGTGATTTATTCGTTCTCTGTTACTTCTCCCTTTGAGGGATTTTATGGTTGAGTACTTGTGTTTGTTGAGGAAATCTTATGTTGTTTGTACTAACAGGACATTGACAAATACCATTCATTTTCAATGCTCCCGAGTGACGTAAGCCAGTTGATTTTTAATCATCTGGTGGACTCATGTAGTCTTTCCGACAACTGTATTGAGGCTTTCAGAGATTGCGCTCTGCATGTAAAGTCCTGGCTTGTACTGAAAGCTTGAAATGTTAAATTGTTGTTTTAGTCTAGGATCGTTTAATGCTTATTTTCGTTCGATGGTTTTCTTTTTGTTGACAGGATATGTGCATGGGAGAATGTACACAAGTAAAAGATAATTGGATGGATGTCATATCTTCACAAGGATCATCGTTACTGTCCGCATATATCGCTGGTACTGAGGTTACAGATATTGGTTTAAGCCTCCTAAGGAATTGCTCAAACCTCCAAGCTTTAGGTTTGGATTGCTGTGACAAAATTTCCGACGGTGACATAAAGCACATCACTGGTATTTATTGCTTGATCTCTGATGATATATCACATATTAATCTATATATTGCAGCTAATTTGACATAGAAGTATTGTCTCTTATGAAGGGAATAAAAATGATTTTGTTCCTTCTGTATCTAGTATTGTTGTGTTTGTGTCTGTTATAGCTTGCCGAAGTCAGCATGAATGTGGAAAGATTTATAATGGAATTCTGTATTTTCTTTCAAGTGTTATTTGTCTGCCTAAGTGGGTCTATATCTCTGTCCTCCGCCATTCTGTGTGCTAGAATTTTTGGTGATCACGATCCATTATGTTTTTGCTTTCAGGTTTTTCAAATTTGAAATATTTGGGTTTTAGAAAATGCTTTGGGCTTACTGCTGAAGCAATGAAAAGTTTATCCGGCTTAGCGAAACTGGTCAAGTTGGATTTTGAGCGATGTCCTCTTATTCACGGAGGTTTTATTCATCTTGAAGGTTTGTTGTTTGCCATAATTTCTGTGTAGAGGAAACATTATGTCGTCTTTAATGTTCACGTCGTCTTGGTTGTGTGCTGCCCCTTCTGCATCTAACTCCAACTTGTTGACGCAATTATTGAATTGTACCTGCGATGCGAAGGTCCGAGTCTACAATGCAGAAATTCTGGAGTGGAAGGAGAGGCGTTTATCAGGAGAATACCACCAATTATTCCGTGCTCTTCTAAAGAATTAGAATTAGCAACGTAAAAGAAAAGACAAAAAGATGGGTGGGGTAAGTGTGAAAGAATTGCATAGGAGAACATTGATCTCCTGCTTATTGGAATTGCAAGTTGAGCAAGAATGCGGGCAAAGTTACCTTTTCTTTATCAAGCTTTGTAACACATTTATTGTCCTCTCTCTTTGAGTAGTTAATTGTTTGTTGCATCATCTACTCTTATGTCCTCTTTTCTTCTTGAATCAGCTTTAATTTCGCACCTCGAAGATATGGGCAATGAATGTATTGATGCAATTATCGTTTCGAACGTACCATCAGAAACTTGGATATATCACAAAATTTACTATGTCCTTAAAATGTAGTTCAAACATGCTGAGAGGTAACAATTAATTCAAATTAATGTAGCGAGAATAATTGTGAGTTGGAGTAAATTGTTTAAAACTGGAGGTAGTAGATTTTTCTTGTTAAAAGGAGGAGTTGGTGGAACACAGAGTCTGTCATTGGTCATGTAAGAGGGTTAGTGAACCTATTTAAAGGACATATTATTTATAAGTTCCTACTTTTTTTTTGGTACCATTTAAGCTTTTAAATTGTCTTCACCACGTCAAGATATTTATTTTCCCCAAAATTTATGACTTGTGTCTGTACTCATCTTCTTTGAATTATTATGCTTTTATATTGGTATTTATCATGTCAAAAACAGTTGTCTTCTTTAACTTTCAGGTTTAACAATTCTTGAATCTCTCACTATAAGAGGATGCAAGTGTATCACAGATTCAGACTTGAAGTCTCTTGCAGGTATTCTTGATGAATGTGCTTTTGAATCTTCATAAATGTTACCGAGTTTGTTTCGTAAAGTTGCTAGTTAACTCTTTGCCTATTGTCGCACAAATGTACTTCAGGACTTGGGAGTTTGAAGGAACTTCAGATTTCATGTGACAACATAACAAATGTTGGAGTGTCTTATTTGAGAGGTATCACTTGCATTTGTATTGTTATAAGCTTTCGCAATGTCCTATGATAGTATTTGTTGGTCATATGATGCTTGTCTTGTGTTTTCAATGAAAACCACAGTCTCAAGCTTATTCCACATTTCTAGTTGCGCCGGTTTTACTACACCGGATATTTGTGTTAAAACATGTGAAGATGTGTTTTCATTTGTTAGATGATATCTTTATTTATCAATTCTTTTATTGCGCAGTTTTAGCCTTTTGGACTCTGATAAACTGCAAATGCCTAAGTATGTAAAGACCAACTAGTACTGCACCTTATTTTGTGGCTATCTATGTTATATTAGCAGTTGCAGTTAGAGATCTGTAGCAGTATTGGCACAACCATAGACATTCGATCACAATTTGATTCTTTAAAATTGATGTACTAATTTTATTCTAATTTGACCGGATCCCTTTGCATGTTTATAGAAGTAAATCTGTCTTTTTTTTTTTAAGGTTAGTAAAGAAGGGATGGTTGAGTGTTATAAGCATAAACGGCAACCTAAAGGAGATCTAGGCACCTCGATATAGGGCGTTTATTCCTCATCACCACATAATCATAATTGGTTTGGATAAATAATAGATCTGGTTGTACCATTTTTGTGGTCTTCTTTTAGGTAATGAATACTGGAACTGTGAAAGGAATCTGGCTTTGCAATCCCTTTCATGGATTTTCCACCTAGTTCTTTGGCTGCTTTTCGTAGTCTTTTTTTTTTCTGTGATTAAGATCTAATCTGGTTTTGATATTATTACATTCCTACTGGTTTTACAGATTTGAACAAACTCGTCGTGCTAAATTTGGAAGGGTCTGATGTTACTGCTCTATGTTTGGATTACCTCACAGGTCTGTTTTCATTGTCCTTGTTCCCGTGTTCACTTATTAGGCCTAGTTTAGTGGTGAATAAATAGGCAGGATAGTGAATTGAGCGAATTGGAGATTTTCTCAGAAAACTTATTGAAGATAAAGTTAACAAGTCGGATAGTGGAAAAACAAGCTTAAATTCAAGTGATTTCTCAAATAAACTTATTTTTTTGTACTTGTTTAATGAGCAAAACATATACTAGTGTTCATCTTCTATTAAGACAGATACAAAGTTGCCTATATAGAAGAGTCATAATTGCATTAAGATACTTAATTGAGATGGAAGAGAAAAAAGAAGGGGTTTTTCCTAGTGCTTATATATTATTTAAAAGCCGTTTATTAAAATGTATGATCCGGATCTGCAGCTGTATTCCTTCTTATAGGAGAACATTGTGAAAGTCTTTGGTTAGGACAAAACAGAACCTGACCAGAATACTTAATGTGTGCCTGGAATTGACTCCTAAACAGGTAGTTGTTTTACTTCGTCCAAGGGATTGCTACAGTTATTGGTCACTCAGTACCACACTCAGCTGAAACTAAGCTCTTGGATATCATCGGCAGAACAAATAGAGAAATTTGTTGCTTATCCAATAAAAAAGTGGAGAGCTTAGTCTATTACCTTACACACAGTAATTTGATGACCCTAGGTACCTGTAGACATATAGGCACGGAACAGCAATTTTCTGCCAAAGGTGGAAAATCTCAGAAAAGATGGACTAAAAAAAAGGGCAACCCGGTGTACTAAGCTCCCGCTATGCGCAGGGTCCGGGGAAGGGCTGGACCATAAGGGTTTATTGTATGCAGCCTTACCCTGTATTTTTGCAAGAGGTTGTTCCCCAGCTCGAACCCGTGACCTCCTTGTCACATGGCAGCAACTTTATCAGAAACGATGGATTAACTTTGTATATTTAACGCCTAATCGAACTTCAAGTCAAAGAATTCCCCAGCCAATGATTTTATAAGATAACATTCTTTATCTCTCCATTTAGACCTTTTATTTTAGGTTTTGGTCAAATCCCTTGGTCCAATTTTTTTGGTAAATACCAATTCCCTGTGATGAACGACGGTGATATTTGGTTGTAAGATTGTTTAATTCAAGAGAATTTTCCTGTATGTAGATTGGTCATTGATTGCATTCATAGAAGTTTCTGCTATATCATTAAGTATGGTCTATAAATACTTTGTCAGGGTGATAATTATAGTTTTCATTTTTGGAATCTTTTCCTTCATGTTATTTTAGTTTCTGATAGTTCCTTCTATCATAATGCAGCTCTCACTTCACTGCAATCGCTAAATCTCAATAGATGCCATCTAACAGATGTTGGATGCGAGAAGTTTTCCGGTGAGTGGAAGAAATTTGTTATTTGCCATATAGAACTAACGAAAGCAAAACCATTCCACATCCTTTAGCCAATTGTTTTACATCTGCAGCGCTCAGCAATTTGAAAGAGTTGAATCTGGGATTTAACAATATCACAGATACATGTTTGGAACATTTAAAAGGTCAGTAATCTCTTCTTTGGTTCCCTTCTTTTGACGGTACATGGCATTTCAGCTTTTGCTTTCTAATTGTTTTAGTCTCTCCCTCTTTGCTTTCATGCTCTAGTGTACATTAAACTCTGAAAGCTTTCAGTTTACTGAATAAGTTTTCTCACCAAAAGTCTTTTTTTCCTTTGAAATATAAAGCATCACCTTCTTGACAGTCAGCAAAATGGAAAAGATAGTCCCTAATCTGCTTCGGCTAGATGTAAGCATGCAACAGTTATATGCCTACCATTTAGTGAATATCTATGTCGCGGAAAGTTTTGCTGTTATCAACCTGATCATGTTGAGTGTTGACTCTTCCGTATAGCATCAAAGCTTAATTTACGTGGGAATAATATGACCATCCTCTCTACTTAATGTTCTCATGCTGGAATTTTATTGTTTTCGGCTTAAACGAACTGCTGGTATATTTAGAGTGTATATTTGCCTCATGGAATGCTTGCATTGTTTGGAGTTTTGAGATGCTTTCAGAATAGGGAGAATTGATGTTTTTTTACCTGACCCCTCAGAGTGAAAATTTTGAGTTTTTGGTTCAGGCGGTTCGGTTACTTCTATCCGTTTAATCTTTCTTGAATAATTTCTGGTTATTTATTTCATTTAGTGTTTACCTACATTGCAGGGCTGACAAAATTGGAAGGCCTCTACTTGGATTCTTGTAGGATTAGCAATGACGGTCTTGCTCATTTAGCTGGTATATGTAACCATAGTTTATTTCCCCTCCCGTCTTGTCTTTGCAGCATTATGCTGTAGTGTCGCCCATTTCCTTTTCTGTTACGTTCCTCGACCCGGAGAGAAGAGAATTCTCTTTATCTTATAGGTGTAAGCCTCTGCCTTTTTCAGGACTCGCAAACTTGAAAGCTTTGGAGCTGTCTGATACTGAAGTTGGAAGCGATGGAATTCTACAACTCTCTGGTCGGACTGTTTATCTCTACTTAGAAACAACTTTTCTACTATATTATAGAGCTTTTGGAACCACATTAGCTAATGGCTTTGATATACACCACTTCACCTTTTTGACTTGGAAAAACAATGAAGCCTTTAATTTGATGCCACTGATTTAATATTACTACAAATTATGATACACTGATTTTTTGATTCATATGTTTTAGGGTTGACAAAGTTGGAAGATCTCAATCTCTCATTCACATCAGTAACTGACAACAGTTTGAAAACGTTATCTGGATTGACATCTCTTAGGTCGCTTAACCTTGATACTCGTCAGATTACTGACTCGGGCCTTGCAGTTCTCACCGGTAAGCCTTAAAATTTCTAGTTGCTTTATCTGAACTGCAGTTTCCAGAAATCTACTCACGCTGATATTATCGTAAGGTGTTTGGTCCATCTTCATTAATATATCTTTGAACCGGTGGTTTTTCCTCTTCCTGTTCGGCATAGACTTTGTGCATGTCTATCTGTTTGTGTTACTTTGTCCTTCCTTGCTTTTTTAATATTATAATATTTATGACGTTATGTTCTTACTTATTAGAGACGTGTGTGTGCGTGTGTGTGTGTGTTTGATGAACTTATTAGATATATTTGCTAGTATAGAAGGTCATACCAAGATTAATGTATATTTTGGAAACTGCGAAGGAGAATAATAATTGGCGTTGGTATGTAGAGCACTGAAGCACCAGAATGTGCTCCGACAACGACTTCTTTGACATAAAGAACAGTTTTTATTTGTTCTGTTGTTTTAAGAGACGTCTTTAGATGTACATGTTAAGAAGCCATCAGACCGACAAGTATGCAGCTGCCTTACGAATTATCACAATAGACTATCCTTTGTAGGCTTACCAATTGTAAACATCTTCCTCATAAACAGAGTCAACATCTAGTGCTGTGATTAGTTATGGTGACGCTTCGTAGTAATGACAAAAATATAAAGCCTTACATTTATCATTCATATTCGTTTTTGTGTTATTCCTTCGATTCATTGTTATATTTTCTTTTGTTTGATTGTTTATACGGTGTGAGATAATACTGATTATGTTGTTTTTGTTTGATTGTTTAATTTTGTCTCTTCTTCTAGTGCATTTATTAGTTTGCTTTTGAGTTTTCTCTCGCCCTATCGAAGTATCGATCGTTCTATACTATGTAGAAGCAATTTGCCTCATTCTTTTCAGGTGTGTGCTATAAGCTTTAACATATAGCTTTTTCTGACATATGGAAGTAGGTTTAACTGGATTGACTCACCTGGATCTTTTTGGTGCCCAGATCACGGATTCCGGGGCAAAATATCTGTCATGTAAGTTAAAATCATCTACTTATTCCAAGTACTGTAAAAAAAATTCTTCTCTTTTACGCGTATGTTAAAGGTATTGAATACAGAGTAGGAATATTCATATAATTTCTTCATTGGTGCTAAATTCTTCTTTTGGTTGATATGATGAAAAAACGTAGTCCCTCTGTTTCAATTTAAATGACACACTTTCTTTATTAGTCTGTCTAAAAAAAATGACACATTTCTATATTTGGGAATAATTTAATTTTAAACTTTTCATTTTATCTACTTTACCTTTAATGAAAAGCTTTTATAGCAAGCTTTTAGGACCACATGTTTCAAAAGTCTTCTTTTATTTCTTAAACTTTGTTCCAAGTCAAACTACCTCATCTTAATTGAACCGGAGGGAGTACTGTTTATATAAGATGAGCATACTCATATTATTAACGCGTGAAGCAAACCAATCTTGATAGCTCTACTGCATTTGTATTCGGGCGCAGCAAATTTTCTTTCGTTTCCAAATTCTCAAGTGTGTGCATGTCTCATCAGATTTGAAAAATCTCCAATCTCTTGACCTTTGTGGCGGGCGATTGACGGATGCCGGCGTCAAGAACATAAAAGATCTTTCTTCTCTGATGTTCCTAAACTTGTCACAAAACCCGAAGCTAACAAATACAGCCTTGGAATATCTATCAGGTAATTTTTTGAATATCTATTTCGTTCGGTCCATGAACACTTCCATCAGTTCAAATGTTCGTCAAAATTGCTGCTATGGATTATTTATTCGGAGCTAACAATGGCAATTGAACACTTCATATGTAATTAATAAAGAAGATAGAATTCTTAATATGCGAACTTTCTCTTGACATACTGTTGTACCATGCTACCACGATGATGAATGTGTGCTAAAAAATTAGATTAATAGTGAATGTAGCGGTGGTCGGTGCCTCCACACGTGCCCTCTCTATTGGAGGGCGTAAGAAAGGAATAGAGTACTCTGGGTGTACGGTACGCTAGAGGGGAAACATGGAAGTGCGTGGTTGGTTTCTTAAAACGCAACCTGATGTTACTTGTGTTTTGGTTGCTCTATTTCCTTCTTGTTGTTACTGCTTCTTAGACTGACTTTTACACTACTACATTTCTTCTCCATATTGTTGTGATTTGCATGCTTGCTTGGAGCCGAGGGTCTATCGGAAACGGCATCTCTGCCTGCACAAGGCAGGGGTAAGGCTGCGTACACACTATCCTCCTCAGACCCCACTCACTTGTTGTTGTTGTTGGTAGCGTCTGGATTGGTTTTTGTGCATTTCGACTAGTCCACTGGTATATACGTGTATTAGATAGCTTTATCAGCAAACACTGAGCTAGAGAGCAAGAGACAACATGTTTTTCTTTTCTGCTGGATTTAACGTAGTTTATCATCGTTTTTCCTACTTCCTACTTCGTTGGCTAACATCTCGCTTGGAAATGCAGGATTGACGTCGTTGGTCTCGTTAAACGTCTCAAACTCTAGTATCACGAACGACGGCTTGCAGTACCTAAAGCCTCTTAAGAATTTACGCTCCCTGTACCTGGAATTTTGTGGGGTTACAGTATGTGAAATCAAGAAGCTTCAAGCCAAAGCCCTCCGGAATCTTGCGCGATACCGCCCTCAGTAATGGTTATCACGTATATAGATGGACAACCGCTTTGGTGTGTAAATAAACAAAATAACATGTAGTAGTAGTTATTATTCCTATAGGCTATATATTGGTAGGGAAAAAATACTTGTTTTTGCTATGTCGGCGATGACTTTTATTCTCTCAGAGAGAAGTGCTTTTGAGCGGAAATAATTTTCTTCTTTTCAGAAGAAGCTATAGATTCTAGCTTCTTCTAAGCAAAAACAATTCCATAATCGTAGAGTAAAAAAGCTAATTATTCTCGATATTAATTTAGTTTATGCTTGTCCTCTTTTATTTTTCAAAATTTTAGAAGATGAAAATATTCAGAAAAAAGAAGAAGAAGATGAAAATATAGGCGATGGCAGTTTGATTGAAGATACATTTGCTAGGCATGAATAATGTCTTTGCATTTCTGAGCAAGATCACATCCTTTATTACGGTTTAATGTTAAGGTGTCGTTAATCAAGCTTACATGGGATCACATATGTTTTATAATGACTTCACTTGCTCAAAATTTTTGTGATGAAACTAAAGTGCTTAAATTAACTCAGGATCGTAAAATAAAGAGTAAGTTTCACTTAACCTTTTAGTATAGGAAAACAATAAATTTTTCTAACTTTTAAATGAGAAAGGTCCCACTTGTCCGAAGGAGAAAAGCTTGATTCTCATGTGCAAACGCATGTGCAAACACTCTATAGTTCTCAAATAAAACTTGGGAAAATCATGCGTTTTGTCAAACTTCTCCGATATTTCTTTGTTGCTATAGTGAAGTGATGTTATAGAAGACATATATTATAACATAACATAAAAATTGTTACCGAGTGAAACTTGACTTTTATAGTGAATGACTGTTATATAGGAATACTGTTACAAAGAGGTCTGACAGTATATATTGATTTGCCTGTTGGACAAAGTGCATGAGAAACAATTGGAAAAAGTTTGGACAAAGTGCATGAGATACAATTGGAAGGAGCATGGAACTAGAGAGAAGTTAATAATACAGTGATAAGAGTAACTATAGAAAAAATGGTTAAGTTTTTTTTTCTTCCATCTTTACATAACAAGGGAGAAAGAATAGAACTATATACTGTACAAGTAGAAAACTAATTTGACAAAACTGTGAAATCATGTTACTGAGAATCCAACATAGAAGAATTTATGGGTGAGGAGTTGAAATCGTGGTAAAAAATCATGGGATTGAAGCGTCGAATTTGTAGGATTGATATTTTTAGGGCAAAAGCGAAGGAATGACGTTATATTAGCTTTCCAATTACTGTTTCTTTAGAAAAACTATTGCAGTAGAAACTACTGTTTCCTTAAAAATGTATACCTATTTAATTGTTTTCAATAAAATTTAAAAAGAGAAACTAATTTGACCTAAACTAACTAATTTGTCCTAAAGCTGTTACATGGCATTTTATTCACGCAAAACTTGGCAAAATCTCACTTTTTTTTAAAATAATAGATAGATTAATGTACTTAGGCAATTGATTGAGATGTTCAACTCAAGTTTAGTTACAAAAGTGTTGGTGTCAAAAAGAAGTACAGAATACACCAATTGTTATAAAATAAAAACTGTAAAGTAAATAAATCGAAAACAAGTATAGAGAGAGATTGATATATTATTCAATTTCAAACTCATGTACATAATGAACTGAAAACTCCTTTATTTATAGAAGAAATAAAGCAATTGCGAGGCTTTTCAGGAAGCAGATGCGAGGCTTTTCTTGAACTGCTTGTAAGCTGTCTGCATGTGTTGCTTGCGACCTGCCTGTTTAATAAGAAGCTGCTGCAAATTATTTCATTAAGTTGCTTGCAACCTGCCTGCATCAGTTGCTTGTAGAAAAACTTCAATAGAGTACCAAACGGATAATCTTCTTGAAGAAGATTATCTATAGCGGAGTAATAAGTGGACATCCATAATATAATTATTTTCATAACACTCCCACTTAGATATTCATTAAAAGATATTGTGTCTCGTTAAAACCTTACTAGGAAAAACCCAGCGGAAAAAATCCTAGTGAAGGAAAAAGAGTACACATATTTAATAATACGCATTTCTAGCTACCTTATTAAAAACCTTACAAGAAAAACCCCATGGAAAAAATCTTAGTAAGGAAAAAAGAGTACAGCGTGTATTTCACTCCCCCTAATAAAAACCTTGTTTCAAATATTTGAGTCTCCGCATTCCAATCTTATATACCATCTTCTCAAGAGTTGAAGTTGGCAAAGATTTTGTGAACAAATCTGTTGGATTGTCACTTGAACGGATTTGTTGCACATCGATGTCACCATTCTTCTGAAAATCATGTGTGTACAATAATTTTGGTGAAATGTGCTTCGTTTTATCTCCCTTTAATTGGGTTATGCATGCAGCATTGTCTTCGTATAAAATTATGGATCTTTTATCACTGTCCAAACCATATTTTTCTTGAATAAAATGAATCACTGATCTCAACCATACGCATTCCATACTTGCTTCATGAATAGCTATTATCTCAGCATGAATTGAAGAAGTAGCAGTAATAGATTGCTTTGTGAATCGCCATGATATGACAGTACCTCCACATATAAATACATACCCGATTTGAGATCGAGCTTTATGGGGATCGGATAAATAACTTGCATCTGCATAACCAATACGATCTGCACCAGCTTTGTTAGTATTAGCAAGATACATAAGTGCGCCAATTGCACTGAGATAGAGTATTTCAGGACCAAGTAATTCATCATCCTCTTCTGGAGGTCGGAACGGATTCTTATTCACTTCAAGTGATCGAACACCCATTGGTGTACTTAATGGGTGCGCTTTGTCCATGTAAAAGCGTTTAAAGACCCTTTCTATATAAGCATATTGATGGATAAAGATCTCGTCTACTAAATATTCAATTTGCAGACCAAGACAAAAAAAAAATTCCAAGATCTTTCATCTCAAATTCTTTCTTAAGATATTCAATTGCCTTTTGGAGCTCTTATGGAGTTCTAACAAGATTTATGTCATCAACATAAACAACAAGTATAACAAATTATGATGCCATTTTCTTTATAAAAATATATGGACAAATAACATCATTTATGTAACCTTCTTTCAGCAAATATGCATTGAGGTGATTATATCGCATGCACCCAGATTGATTTAAACCGTACAAAAATCTTTGTAATCTGATTGAGTACATTTCACGATACTTTGAAATATATGCTTTAGGCATTTTAAATCCTTCAGGGATCTTCATATAGACTTAATCAAATGAGTCATATAGGTTATGACTTGCATTTAGATGGCATGACATCTTCAGGTGTTTGGACTACAGATCTGATCCTCACAATCTTATACAATATTGTGAATTATATTGATATATTGTCGACGATCATTTTGTATCGGTTCTTAAGCGACATAACTTGTTGAGATCTCATCACTTTCTTTATTTTCAGTTACCTGAACTTCTTCTGGAGTTTCATGAAATGTTATGTCGTGGGTTCTTCTAGAGCTCATTTCCTCCCCATTATGATCATTTTGATCATTTTCTCCTATCATTTTTCAAGGATTGTTACCTTTGGAACCGATCGATTTACTACGCTTCATGCGTGCAATAAACTTTATCCTTCAGGGACTTTAATTTTAATAGGAGCATTTGTATCTGAAATATGATATTTAATTTTGGATCACCAAATGCTTCTGGCATTTTGACTTGAATTATCCTCTAAGTGAGGGTCATATTAATGATAATTCGATTCATATAGCATATTTTTCAGTTGTTTATTCCATCCCCCAAATGTTAGAAAAACTAACACATATCCCCAATTTTCTTTGGGAAACCTATCTTTGTGTATTGTGGTAGAGAAATTAATCATATACCACACATCAAAAGTTATTAGATAGTAAAAATATTTGGTTTCTGATCTTAAACCAATTGTGAGGGGGGGACTTATCATATTTTGTTGGTGTGATGCATACAAGTGCTGCTGTATGCAATTTAGAAAATCTTAGACCAACACATGAAGCTTTATTTCTCATAAGCAATAGTTTAGCCATTAATATGAGGTATTCAATGCTAAACCAGCTTGGATATAAACCAGCATTATCAAGATGAACTCTCTTGATTTCATAATCTGAAAATTATGCTCTTAATTGAGAAAGGCAATTTCAAATGCCAAACTGCAGGTTGACGATAATCGCACGTGTAACCATCTCATATATGCATCTATAAGTGGTTCACATGATAGGTGTATGAGCCCATATTCACCTTTCATATATTTTAGAATAAGGGGTTTCAATCCCAACTTTAACTAGTATAATCATATTATTATGAGAACATGCAACACAAGAGAATTCTTGAAGAATCTTTTAGTTATTCAATATATGCTTGTCAAAATTCTCAATTAGCTCATCATATTTAAACCAGATGGCAAATAAAAACTTTCACTTTATCATGGTATGTGCTATCTTTTATCCACCTTTTATATATTTCAGAATTAGGGATTTTAGTCTCAACTTTAGCTAGTATAATCATATTATTATGAGAACAAGCAACACAAGAGAATTCTTGAAGAATCTTCTAGTTCTTCAATATATGCTTGTCAAAATTCTCAATTAGCTCATCATATTTAAACCAGATGGCAAATAAAAACTTTCACTTTATTATGGCATGTGCTATCTTTTAGTAAACTTCTGATTTACTATGGCATAAATTTTTATATCAACAAACTTTTGATTTATTATAGCTACGCCTCAGTAAAAATTTCTGGCTTACTATGATTGCTACGTGATGTAGTACAAATTGAAGAATAAGCCGGGTAACTTCTCACATACATATTTACCTTCTATGATTGTGGAAATATGAAGATTTTCAATCTTTCAATCATTTGTAGTCTCCGTATGATTGTCATTTGTATTAGTAAACTCCGGATTTTTCATAACACATGTTTTGACCACAATAATGACAAATAAGCTCTTCGAGAGCCTTCAATTTATTGTCCACAATCAAATATTATTCAGACACTACTTGTGTCATGTGTCTTCTAGACAAACAGTTAGCTCTTCAGGATCTTTTGATAAATTTTGTACTACCAAATATTGCTCAGACACTTCTGGTGTCATGAGAGAAAATGATAATCAAATGAACAATATAAAGTAATTGTTTAAGCACAAGAAAACACCTCTTCGTAATATTTTCCTACTTCAGGAGGAAATTTCAATTGTGTTACTTCTTCAGGAGCAAATTTAAAATACGAAAAATTGAATATATATTCTCTCAATCATATTAACTCTTTTGGAGGTGAATTGTAATATATTTACATCAAGAGCGCGTTCATATTTACGACTTTATTAATATTATCACATTCACTTCAGGGAATGGATTAATATTTATCAAAAATTCTCATCATTTAGGAAATCAAACATAATTATCTGAACGCGCATTAATCGCATCAAATTGTGATGCTTCAACCTCTTTTAAAATATTTACTACTTCAGGAACAAATCGAGGCGTGCATGCAATGTATAGAATATTTCTCTAGCTTATCTTTAATTGTAACCATAGAAAGCCTAAATTATCACTTCTGGTGGTCATAGGCATATACCACTTTTGGTGGTTAACAAAATTTAGTTACAATGAGATATACGAAACATAACCACTTCTGGTGGTTGTATATTTCTTGCAAACTCTGCTGGAGTTTAAGTGGATCTAACAATGTTATCCACTTTGTAATCCTTTATTAAGATAATTAGGATGAAAACAAATACCAAAATAGGTACTGTGTGCGTAACATATAACTAAGAAAGCGATAATAAAGATATTAAAATATATGCAAAAAGCTCAAATTAATTTACGCAAATTTGTCCACTCCAGATGTAAGTGATATCTACATCACTACTGCCAAGAAGAAAAACTCACCACCTTAATGATATAATCTGCCTTATGATACTCGGAATGAACAAGATCTAACCACGGACATAAGAGTGTCTCCTTACATCGGAGATGAACACATCTCAAGGATATAATCTGCCTTATGATGCTTAGAATGAACAAGATCTAACCACGGACATAAGAGTGTCTCCTTACATCGGAGATGAATACTGAAATAGAAATTAAATTCGAAGTAAGTGCTCAAATGGCAGAGTTTCGTGCTGATAACGTGTTATAAAATAAAAATTGTAAAGTAAATAAATCGAAGACAAGTATATAGAGAGATTGACATATTATTCAACTTCAAACTCATGTACATAATGAATTGAAAACTACTCTATTTATAGAAGAAAGGAAGTAACCGCGAGACTTTTCAGGAAGCAACTGCGAGACTTTTCTTGAGTTGTTTGTAAGTTGTATGCATGAGCCGCTTGCAACCTGCTTGTTTAATAAGAAGCTGTTGCAAATCATTTCATTGAGTTGCTTGCAACTTGCTTGCATCAGCTGCTTGTAGATAAACTTCAATAGAGTACCAAACAGATAATTTTCTTCAGGAAAATTATCTATAGCGGAGTAATAAGTGAACATTCATAATATAATTATTTTCATAACAATAAAGGTATTCTTATTTCAAGTCATTGATTTTTCTCTTTGGCGATTGTTAAAATGTGTTGTTGTTCGAGACTAGCAACAACCTTTCAAATCTTCCCTATTGGTTTAGAGCTTCTCTGACCTATGAGATTAAAACTTTCTTTTTTTATTAAAAAAGCACTTCTTTTAGTAATTTGAGTTGTGTGGCCAAGATAGAGAGATACTTTTGAACGGTAGCAAGAAGCAGTTTTTAAAATTTTCAGTAAATTCTAGCTTCTTCAAAAAAAACAGAAGTAGAAAATTAATTTTTTAAGATAAAAATATCCTTATTCTAATTTTATATTTCCCAAAGTATCTCTCATCAATTTTACTTTTCCCTTTTCTTTTTTGTTTCTACAATCCATTTCTTCTCTTTTTATTTTTATTGTAGTTTTAATCTACTCCTTCTATTCCTCTTTGGAAAAGTCTCTCTAATAGATTTCTTCTTTTACATAGCGAGTATATATTTGATTCATACTGATGTATTTTTTTTATTGGTATATTTTGATATATTTAAATTATATACATAATAAGTAATACCACAAACCCAATTTTTAAAAATCCTAGTTATTCTTAGCATGATATTGAAAAATCTCCGACTTCACCATAGCTCCGGTAGCAATATCAATTTCTAAGGAACTGGGATAATTTTATTTTATATTGATTGAATTTTTTAATATATATTATTATTTTATACTTTATAATCATTTTTTTATTACTGAAAGGTTCTTTTTGGAAAGATTGGTCAATAAAGTACTTGGCTCTTATTGATAGCCCAATTAGTCCCTCTTAATTGTTTCATTTTGTTACGCTTATTCTGTAAAGTTTTCATTTTTTGAAATATTCAACGGCTTCTTTCCCCGGCAGATATATGTGGTATTAATGTTATAGTTACTCATGTTTATTTCTTTGGACAAACAAGTTAATTTTAGTAGATGAGTGATTAATGATAATTCCATCATCATTCAAAAAAATTCACCCATTTATAGCAAAAGGAAAAAGAAAAAGACAAATGAAGGTTGGTAAAAAAACAAACATTTGTCGAGTTTCATTTTTTCTGTTCAAGAATGGATCAATAATACAAAATAGAGAGTGTTGAGGTAAACATCCAAAAACAAAACTAAACATCCAAATATTCTAAAACTAAACACCCCACCTCAATGCCGCCTCGAAACATGAGCCCAAGAGGGTGTCATCGCAAGTTCTTGAGCCGACAAGTGAGACTTGCTCAGTTGGTAAAGCACCTCTACCCACGACCGTTAGATCCTGGGTTCGAGTCACTCTGAAGGGGAAGTGTGGAAACACTACCAATTCTCCTAAATTGGAAGGGATTTTATTTTTTATTTTTTTAAAAAAAAAAAGTTCTTGAGCCTCATATATTAAAAAAAAGAGCATCATTGGTCTCACCATCATGGTCTTTGATGAAGTTATATCCTATTATGTTTCATGTTTTGCCTTAAGATTATTGGTGGTATTAAAGTTACTAGTTCGTTTGAGACAAGTTGTGGCATGTGTCCCAAAAAAGATGCATATTCCAGACATTTTGTTGTGGGTGCTACTAAAAAAAATTGTTATCCGACCGACGGATTCCCCGATTTTTGGATTTTTATTTCTTTATGTGAAAAAGAGGCGTTCCAAAAGGAGCTTGAGAGAAAAGAATGGGACTGGAAAAAAGGTCCCCTCTTATAGAAGAGCTTCAGAGACGGATGTGGATTCAATCCGGGCCTTTCCTTTCAAATGAGAACTGCCTCTGATAACTCGACTCGTAATTATTTTTCGATTGAATGCTGGATTTTGTATTGAGATATGCATGCATATGAGAAGTGAATTTGAAGCTTTTCCTTTCTCATGAAAAATATTGAAGAGTATAGATCTGAAGCAGAAAAAGAGAGAACGAATTTCATGCGGATCAATTTACTCTTGAGACCTTCCTTCAAATATAAGCCGTCGTGATTTTTGTAGTCAAAGCAACTTCGTCACTTCCATATACCTAATGGATAACAATGCTTTCAGGGATTTCTTAAGGATGACAGAAAACAGAAAACTATAGGTGACAATTGTAAAGAAGTCAAAACTGCAACAGTATACCTTCAATATTCATTTTGATGGTATTAACTGTGCAGTTTAAATACAAATGAGGTGTTTGCCAAGAGTGGTATTACCTCCTAACCAACAATCTGGACATCATACACAAGTGGGGTCTGGGGAGGGTAGTGTGTATGCAAACCTTACCCCTACCTTTAATAAGGTAGAGGCTATTTCCGGAAGACCCTCGGCTCAGAAATCTGGACATCATAAAAGTACACTAAATAACTCGCATATATGTTACATCAACATGATGCAAGTAACTCAATCTAAGACACTAATAGTGACAACTACTAAAAAAGTACAAAAGGCCAACTGAAACAGAATAGTACAAGCCAAGAAAGGAATTACCATAAGAAAAGAATGCCTTAGGACCCTTCCATGAGCCAAAGGAGAATAACTAAAAACTACTGAAGCGATTCACCACTGCCTTTGAGGAACCGCTACACTGGGCAAGACGACGAGGAGTAGGCAAAAATAAAGAAAAAGAGATTTCTGCCTCTTCATCTCTTTGTGAATGAAAAACAGGTAATGCACAATCCAAGTGTCGCAAAGGTCCAAATTCCAAAACCTGTATTAACAGCTGATGCACGTAAATCCCTGCAGAAAAAATAGATCCAGCACCTCTCAGATAAAGCAAGAAGACAAAGAAAGTAACAATGTTATCATATTAAAGACAGTTGAGGTTGCTCCAGTGGCGAGAACACTCTAATTCCAACAAAGAGGTTGGAAGTTCGAGTCATCAAGGGAACAAAGTGGGAAAGTCGCACACTGTTGTTTATGTAGAGTGGTTTTGGAGGCAGGGGCTGGAGTTTACTATGTCAAGAAAAGGGGAAAAAGAAGGAATCAGCACAGCATTCCATGCTAATAAATGAGCTAACCTTACTTGATATTTCATTTACAAGTGTCAGTATTAATGCGGTGAAACCTCAGCGAAGTTCTCAATACAATCAGCTTTTTACCAAGAAATTATGCACAGACAACTGTTAAACGCTTTTTCAGTGAAGATTTCACGGAAGGTGCAAGACTTTTCATGACGTACATGACCCTTATTATGAGGGTACCTGTCAATGAACACTAGCAAGGGTGATGTAGTAGGTTCATAGTTTTGGAGTCCTGTTCAATAGATTCACGGCAGTGCGGGATAAACGTCTAGCAATCAGAGAGATGTATTTTGGTGACTGTGTAGGACAATCATACACTTACACACGAAGAAAACAATTATAAGCTAACGTCAGTCATTGGTTAATGATGCTTCTTATCCATCTATAAATAGGTAGTCATCTAATCCTCGAGGAACGCCATCCAATTCTCCCTTACAAACTAGCAGAGTGAAGTGTTATTTCCTGAGAAAATCTTTTAGCTCTAGATTGAAGTGTTTAACAGGTCACAAAATACGGAAAAAGCTGAACTTGTAAACACCAGGCTACTTCCACAAATATGTGAACTCAATGGAAAGGAAAACCATAAAAGTAACAAAACGTCTTTCTGGCTATAGGAATCTATGTCGGAAAATCGTTATTCAATTTCTTTGCCACATGAAGGAACTTTTGCAGGTATTGGACCATATATTTTGCACGGATGTGTAAAGTGCTAATTCATAGAATCAAGTATTACTGCAGCCTGACAACTCCAAGACTAGAGTAATAGACTTTAAAGTACAATCTGAAGAACTAAATGAGCTGAAAAAGGGTCTGAAAGGGGTCTAGAACTTGGAGATGTTGAGATCAAAAAATAAACCCGCTAGGGGAAAACTAATCTTTCCCCACCTACCTAGGGAATAAACAGAAGAAACTAATCTGATTAAACAGAATTGGTACAAATGAATGCCTCTGTTAATGAAAGGATATTTACCTTCCCAGTGAGTATAAGCACAGACTAGGTGCAACAGCAGCGGTAATAGCGAGTTTCTTTCTTGATTCCTCTGACACCATAACAAGACCTCATGCTAATTCAAGGGCATGATACAGCTTGGAAACTCGTCGACGAAGCAATGGTTCCAACCTGAAAGAAGGTACGCCTCTTTCCCACCTTCTTGCTTCATACATCTCATTCCATGCCTGTACAATTTCATCAATATTGAATCCCAGCCCTACAACACAACGAATGTCAGAGACATTTGAAATGATTTTGAAAAAAGCCAATGAAGAGTAAACAAGTTTAAGGTAATATTTTCCAGTTTCACCTTCTGTTGCAGTACTGTTGGAACAATGATTCTTTATCATAACAGCAATATCTGTTGGAGAAGCTCCGGCGAATTCAAATTTTTCAACAGCAACTTCCAATGATTCATGCCAGAGCGGAAGCCCGAGTTTGAACTCCATAAGTGATCGTTCATATAGCATTGTACCCCATAGTAAATTTATCTGAGACCTCATGTTTGCAGCTTGCTCAGTAGCTTCAGCTGCAGATATTCCTTTGAGAAAATTCTCCGACTTCATCTGCTGCGAAAGGATTTTGTCGGGACTTGATAATTCGTTGAGACGCTGCTCCTCTGCGTCCTCCCACATCTGCATACCTCTTTCCATATTTTCCTCAGCACTGTTGTAAAGATGCAGAACTTCTGTAGAAGGCCAAGAATCCAAATCGACACCAGTGCTAATCGCATAATACCAAGAAAGTTTTGCTTGCTCAAACTGTTGCTGCCCCAGAGCAAGAATACCTTCATAAAAATTTGGTTTGATCTTCAGTGCCTCTTCATATCTCTCTCCTGCTTTTGAATATTCCTTTTGAGCCCAATCATAAGCAAATTTTACCTGTGCAAGCAAAGATTCTCCGGAACTATCTTCTTTCAAATAGACCCTTTTTCGCGCCCTGGACATATGAACATTACCCCAGTTGAACAATGCCAAAGCAGCCATCTCCTGAAATGTTTCTCCGGCTGTGCTGAAAAGGCATTGAGCTTCTTCACTTGTGACTGCCTCTTCCAAAGCCTCAGAGTATAGCTTCATTCCGACTTCATGAAGATCCAGATAAGCATCGGACTCAAATCCAACATAGTTCTTGAACAAATTAGAGAACTGGAAGATCCAATCATCAATACAAACTGGTCCATTTTCCTTGCTTTTTTCAACATACCCATTTTCAACAATCTGATTATGTCGTGCGCTGTATTTATGTTCGTCTTCCTCCCTTTTGATCTTCTCATAGAACGGATCCTGCTCCGGATTAACTTCCACGATATAGAGTCTTACTGAACCATGTTGACCAGAAGCTTCGGCCCATCTTAACTCCTCATTTGTCGTCACTGTAACCAGGTCACCTTCTTGGTCCCTATACTTGATTAGGACTGCTTTTAAGTTTGGGAAACGATCACCTATGACCTCCCTCAGTGTCAAGATGCTGCAGTTCAGGGGAACTTGAGCCCACCTTATGTCTTCCCCAAATACTAATTTCACTGTTCTTTTTGGCTCTTCTTCTGTGGTACGACTGATAATTTCCTCCACCACCAATTTATCTTCAGTTTTCCTCTCCTCATTGTCCTCATCTTTATTATCCTCCTGCCTATCCTTGGCCTTATTTACCTCGATCTCGTCCTTACTCTTCTTTTCCTTACTCTTGTCCTTAGCTTTCTTTCTGTTGGTCTTGTTCTCAGCTTTCGTCCCCTCCATCTTGTCGTCAATCTTTTCTTCCTGAGTCTGATCTTTATCCTTATTTTCTTCAATCCTAATCTCAAGCTTCATCTCCTCGACTTTCCCGTCCTTATTCTCAGCATTCTCTTTCTCGTTCCTGTTATCGGCTTGCTTTAAATCGATTTGGTTGTCTAATCCCTTTTCTTCAGCCTTGCCATTAACCATCTTCTCCTCTACTTTCTTGCTTTTCTTTTTTTGTGCCTTCTCTTTAGATGATTTCGACTGACTTGAAGCAAAAGGTAGTTCAACATATTCAGGTACCGGAATCAAATCTATAGGAACGTCATTCGCTCCAATGCCTTTTTGCTCAATGGTTGTTTTCACCCTCTCTGCAATCTCAATAGCCATGAGATTATTCGGTTCCATCTCCAGCACTCTATTAACATCTCTCTGTGCCAAATCCAACCTATTTAGCGCCTCATAACACCTAGTTCTTTTCATAAGTGCCTTGCTATATTTCGGTGTAACTTCAAGAGCCAAATTACACTCGTGGATCGCCCTAGGATATTCACTAAGTCCCATTTGCATATAACAAGCGGCTATATTACTACGAAGGTAGGATACGTCTATGTGGTTCCGCGGAAGCAATTTTATAGCTTTGTCATACTTCAGCATAGCTCCTTCATAATCCCTCTTTTGAAATAGCTTATTCCCCTCATCCTTAAGTTCATGAGACATAGCAATGAAAACTGCTGTGTCCTTATCAAATCGCCTCGGGCTATTATTTTCACCAACTTTGTTTTGCTTCATACTAGTATCACCAGATTTACCTCCTAATTTTTTTGACTTCTTCCAATCCTTTCCCATACTGAGCTTAACAATTCCAACTCTTTCAAACTATGTAGCTCAAAAACAACAACTTAAACTAATTTCTAAAATTAAACCCTCTCAATCCAATCAATAAACACACACACACACACACAAAAGTAACAGGACTTAACAACAACAACAACAGACCCCCCAGATAAGGAAATTCACCCTCGGCTCAAGAATGAAGGAAAGAAATAGTAGAAACAGGACTTAACTGGTAAAAAAGTTGAGTCTTTGTACCAGAATCCAACACAATAAAAAACAATCAAGAAAACCCCCAGATAAGGAAATTCACCAACCAAAACAAAGGTTAAAACCAGAACAATCCACCACAACCCAAACACCAATAAATCAAAAAAAAATATCCAATCTTTTTTCTTAATATACCAAGAAATAGCTTAAAGAACTGAGCTTTAGCTCCTAAATCCAAAAGGGTCTTCTTTAGAATTTGTGTTTAGCACCAGTAAAGCAAAAAAATCCAAACTTTTCTCAAAATTCCAAGAAATAACTTATAGAACTGAGCTTTAGCCCCTAAATCCAAAAGGGTCTTCTTCAGAATTAAAAAAACACAATAAAACAGTATAAATCCAGAATACTGAATTTATTCACAACAAACCCCAATTTAAGAAAAATATGAAGATAAACACCCCTTTATTCAGCTGCAAATAATTCTTCTCCTCAACCAAGATTCTTGCTTCTTCTTTTTTTGTATTTTTTTCTTTTTTCTTTAATTTTGTGAATTGAGGAAATAATTAAAGAAAACTTATCTGCATATTTTCAGCTTGCTTTTGAACACCCTTCAAAATTTTCTTGCAGATTTCAAGAGGAAAATGCGTTGAGACTAATGTTTTTCTTTGGTTTTTTCACAAGGAATATATGTTTATGCAGAAATGAAAAAAAAAAAATACCACCAATGCCTCCACCTGTTATTTAAGTTGGAAAAAAAAATTAAATTTAGAAAACAAAAATAGTAAGTAAAAAAGGGTGTCTTGTACCTTTACGCAAACGCCACAAAAAAGTGTGTCAAAATATTCAACAGTTAAATATTTTGTTATTTAGATTTGAGTTGATTTGTGTTTTGCAAAAAATAAAAGGAAAAAAGAAAGATTATGTTGATTTGTTTTTCTTTTCTGTAAACAGAGATTTACAATTATTATATTCTATATTCCGACAACTACAACGTAGGTCCCACTAACCGTGTATTCCTAGATTGTGGGGGACGTTTGCAAAGAGTAAAATTGAAGGCAACTGTCTCTTCTATTTTTTTCCCTCTTTTTCTTTTCTTTTCTCCACCCCACAAAAATCAATAAAATTCTTCTTTTTTTTGTTAGAAATATTCACATTTTTTTGGGTTTCTTGTTTAGTGTTTCACCGTTCAGTATTCGTTTACTCGCTTTGAAAAGTTTCACTTTAAGAAATGATAAGTTTCAAACTCAAAATCTCTAATTAAAAATTAAAAAATAATCGTTTACCTAAACTTTTCATTTGGATTAAATTTTACCTTACTGTCCCACAATTGTCAAATTAACAAAACAGTATAGAGGGATTTTCAGGAAATAGAGTTATCAAGTTGAGCTTGTTATTAAACGGAATGATAACCAGTACAAAGATGTATATAGTTGACCAGTTGAATTTATCAGTAATAGTTGATAATGTCTGTATTAGTTTCAATTAAAAATCTAATATAATATTTGAAGCATGTTATTTACAAATTAATCTATTGTCTTTCTTTCTAATGATTCTCCGTGCATAGTAATTAATTAGTACTTGTCTTCAAATAGAGAGGTAAAATGCAATTCCACTTCTAAAATCTTGTGGGGAGACAGTGTAAACGGCGCCCAAATTTATCTTTATATCATTCTAAATTAATCAATTTTGTCACCCATTATATTTTTGGTTCATTTGTATATTATTTACCCGAAAAACGGATAGAGTTGAATTTGTACATAGTTCTAAGGATATGCGGTATAGCTTGATACAAATCGTAGGGATAAATAAAAATATCAAATATGGATTGCAAAGAATGCAAAATAAACAAGGTTGAAACGAAAATGATTTTTAGGACTAAACACAATAAATTAATTAATGAAACTTAAAAGAATAATCCTTGAATATAGGAGAATATGGTGCTTGAATTACAATGTAAGCAAAAACTGCCCTCTATAGAAATGTAGCCATCCTCTTTATAGTGGAGGACCCTACTTTAGGTATAATTAAAAATACATAGTGGAGAACTCATGATTAATCAGTTTTTCCCTAATTTTCGCCAAGATTCTCTCCCTTAATGTGTTTGCAACGGCTCTTGTCTGTGAGCTCAAACTCGATCGGCCTCGGTGTTGGTCGGTATTGCTTCTAGAACTCGATATGGACTCGGGATCAGGTGATTATTCGAACTCGGTCCCGGTTGGCCTCTGTCCCTTAAGCTCGAAATCATCTCATCATAGTTCGATTCGGACACGAGCTCGATAAAGACTTCGAACTCGGTGTTTGACCTATACCCGAAATCTGAAGCTTGTTTGTACCATCTTCAGAACCCATCTCGATATTACGAAGTCTTTCTTCGATCCATTATGTTTCGACCTCGATTAATCGTACGAAAGGCCGAAATTTATTTCGATCGTATACAAATAGTCCCCTCGTTTCTCGGGAAGGATGTGGTGAGAAACGATATGATTTCTCAATGGCTCGATTGGACTATAAGCTGACGTTCACATTGGGCTCAATCATGACGCACGTGATAGCTGTCTCGTCGATTTAGTTTTTCAAGATATTTAATGCATGTCAGACGGTGGTCGGCCACCGCTAATACTGAACCGCCATTGCTTTAATCTATAAATAGCCCTTCCTTTTATCATTTACCACTTTTACATCTTCAATCTTCCAAATTTCCCAAGTTCTTTTTCGTATCCTCTGAGTTTATTCGCAAATCTGTGATTCCTCTTCTAAACCACAAAATCTTTGTCACCTTCTTTAAATCCAAAAATGGTGAAGACATCAAAAACCGTCCCAAAAAAAGAAAAAGCTTTTTCTTCTCAATCTGCCGCCGACAAAACACCGGTGAATTCACGGACTGAGGAGTGCATTCCGGCGGCGTGTGTTCTAACCTCTAATTTCAAACTCGATAAAGGTTCACCGGTTCCTAGCCGGTGTGAGCCCGTATCGAGATATATTTGTTCGATAATTGAGGGGTATATCGAGCAGATAAAAAAAGATTATAACTGGGGGGACAAAGAAGTGGTAGTGCCGTCTCCCGAAGAGGATATTACTACTCACGTGAAAGGGTTTTTAAGTGTGTATACTTACCATTTCACGTTAGGTCCCCTCGACCCTATTAACATAGATTTTTGTCGTAAATACCTAATAACCCTAGGCCAGATCCATCCTTCTTTTTGGCGGATCGTTATTTTGATCCAATACTTTGTGAACAAAATCGAGGGGATGCCTTTCACCCTCGATCATCTCATTCAATTGTACCGTCCTCACCTTTTTCGAGGAGGATTAATAAAACTTCAACGTCGAGCTACCAAGGCTCTGTTCTCGAGCATGGACGAGGACATGGATCGAGGCTGGATGGGCACGTTCATTCGAGTAAGGACTTCGGACCTGATTCCGACTGAAAAGATGCCTTTTCCCGAGGAGTGGAACATAAAGCGTAAGTGTAATTCTTGTTGTTATCTCCTACTATTTTGTCCTTTCATTTCTTTTCTCACCGATATCCCCCTTTTGTGATTCAGTTCCATGGATGCCCGGCGCAGTTCCCGATCTCAAGAACTGGGTACGAGATCTGGTTTCACCTCCGCATACGCCGAGCGCTCATGGCGTGACTTGTCAAAGGGCCGATGGGAGGCCAAAAATCATGGTAAGCCCATTTCTCGTATTTTTTGGTAGTTCGAACAAAATACTTTCCATACACTTTAATAAAATTTCCCGTATGTAGGTGTGGGAAAAGATGCGGTTTTGAGGCCATTGTCCATCGAGGAAGAGGCTTTGGCCTGTGTCCCAAAGCCGGTGAAAGATAATAAGAGGAAAAGAGCCTCCGTTCCCAAAGATCCAAAACTGAAGAAGAGGACGGCTCGTAAGTCGAACAAGAACACCATTCCTTTGACCGTAGAATCAGTTCTGCGTCTAAGGGATGAAGAAGAAGAAGAAGAAGAAGAAGAAGAAGAAGGAGAAAAAAAAACGATAGGTATGCGCTGGCGGACCGAACGAAGAAGACCACCGACGTTCCCCAGGCAGTTGGGTCGATAGTGGTTCATAAGGCTCTGCCTCGAACTGGGAATATATCGGAGAAAGATTTGGGCAGAGTCCCCGAGTTGTTGAAGATCGAAGATGCTTCCCATCGAAGCCAATAGATGGGGGGGTATGTCTGAAGGGGCTCTCCCCGAATCTTTTCGAACCGAAGAGAATGCTCCAAGCGATTCACTTGGGGCAGTAGCAATCGAAGACTTGCACCTTCCCTGATTTTTCCGCAAGGGGGATTCGGGAAGCCCAAGTTTTGAGGGCCCTCAAACTAGACAGGCCTTGTGATGGAGAGGATCCTTTTCGTGACCTATTTATCGGTGTCGAGGACGCTACCGGTACAAGTGACGCATGAGATCTTTTTTACGGAGTGCGGCAGGCTTTGAATCAGGTAAGCCTTAAATTATTTTGTTGGCATTACCTTTATGTTTGCTTTTCTTTTCTAACTTCGTTTCTTCTTTCTTTGCAGGTCGCGACAGTTCATCGAGAATTATGTTCTCGGTCCCGAACAGAGCTACGTCAATATGAGGTCGATCTTCAACGGTTACGGATGAGAGGAACTCCCTTAAACTCCTCTTAGGGCAAAGGGGAGAGAAAATAAAAGACCTCCGAGATAAGTTGGCCAAGGCTCACCAAGATCAGACCGATCTGTCCGAGCATGTAATGATACTTTTAAAAGCCTATAGGCTCGATACGGGAACGATAGCTAATTTTTCGATCTCACAGCTGCAGCAGAAAATTGAGATAATCGGGAAACTCCGTGAGGAGGTCGATGTGATAAAAACTGAGTCTTTGAAGTGGAAAGAAGATATGGACCGATTTGCTGTAGAGAAAGAAGCTGCTCGAGCCCAATTATTATCGACCGAAAAACAACTTCAAAGTATGAAGGAGAAAGGCTCGGTTCATGCAAGAAGAATAAATGAGCTCGAGGCTCGGTTGGCCTCTGAACTTGCCAAGGACGAATCTGATGCTAAAAAGGCAAAGGTCAATGCGGATGCACTCGTGGCCGTCTATCGGGCCGATGCTGAAGCTGCCCAGGTCCAAGCAAGAGAGGCAGTAGAGACCACCAATACTCGAGCACATTGGGTCGCTGAACTTGCTAAATGCCGATCTCAGAGGGAGACCCTCGAGGAGATCCATGCTCGAGGTTTCGACCTCGCTGAAGAGATAAAAAGGCTTAAGAACTTGAAGCCGATGCTGAAGCCTTGGCTTTTGATGACGACGATGATGATAATTATGATGATGATGATGTGAGTAAGAGCGGGTCCAAGAACGGGGGGATCCCGGTGGAGAAGAGACCGCTCCCGGAGATAGCCAAGAAACTTAGCCCTTAGTTTCTATGTTGCAATCAATCGTGTAAACAATCTTGTGTGTGTGTGTCTATATATATATATATCTTTTTGTTTTACCGACTTGCTTCTGTTTTGTTTATTGCCTTGTGAAGATTTTATTCATGCCTTATAAATGTTTTCATAAGGATTTAGGCAATTTGATCGAATTTAGACTTCGTAGCCTTTATAACCGAGTGAGCGTTTACTCAAGCTTGAAATAAGGTAGCCAATAGTCTTAGTAGTCGAGTTGAGTGATTATTTGAACTTGAAGTATGATGTAGCCCTTAGTTGAGTGAGTGATTCGAACTCGAAGTAATATAGCCCATAGGCGTAATAGTCGAATGAGTGCTTGCTCGAACTCAAAATAAAAATAACACGTAGGCTTAGTAGTCGAGTGAATGATTCGAACTTGAAGTAATGTAGCTCATAGGTGTAATGGTCAAGTGAGGGCTTGCTCGAACTCGG